CAGTAAATGCACTGGTCGCAACTAAAAAACAAAATAGTATCATTGGACACAAACTCACGCAAAGTAAAGTGAGCGAATGTCTGAAATAATTATTAAAAGATTGATTTTAATAAAGCCACGGTCACAAATTCATATGTTTGGGCATTGCCATGGCAACGCCGGGACAGGAGTTTTTAAAAATGTTTCCACCTAGTTGCAGGTGTGGCCTGTTACCAAGTAATCGCATCACAAATAAGATTGGTTAAGCAATACTGTGCTTTTTGTGACTAGTTACACTATTAAATAATTTTAGAATTGATATTGGTCCTCTTTGTCTGTTTGCTTTGTATATAGTGGGCCATTGTCCACTACATGCCGAGGGTTAATTATAATGACCTGGATTTCAATCTCAGTGAGAGAATGTTTTGAAATCTGATATACAGTGTTGACTGCATTGAACGGCATTTTTCTTGTATTATGCCAGAACTTTTAGACATTTTTCTCTTTCTCATCAGACTGTGGTTTTTTGACATGGGTTATTTTTAGACCGATTTCGAGTTCGATTTTCAAAATTTTGAATGGCTTGGACGACACCTTTTGAGGTTTATACTTATAATTTCAATCATAAATGTTGAAATCCCCCCTTTCAAACACTTTAAAAAAATAGGTGCACATATGTATACAGATTTCCAATAAAAGTCAGAAAACCAGGGTTAGGCGGCCTTGTCACTGCCATGTCAATGTCCTATATACTGCCCTATATAGTGCCCGAAGTTGGCAAAAATACACAAGACGGTTTCGCTTTGTTTCATTACGTCACATGCACGTGTGATATGGTGTACCTGTTACGACTTGCCACTAATTACCCTCGTTTGTCTCGAATGAATGGAAGGTCGAACTGAGTTTATAAGACAACACGATCGCACTGGGACTATCATTGAAGCGCACATAAGCTGAATAGCTATTGTAGCTGTATACTCAAAACACATACAATATATTTGACAACACCACTGATATACTAAGATTATTATACTTAAATGAAATATACTTATAAAGTGAAAGCAGCTAACTATACGAATAACTAGTTGTAATTACTAATACAATGGGAAGTTAGTGTTGTGTTTCCCATGTAAATGAGATATTACAAATTGTGAATTTTTATAAACTGTTTAACAATCAAAATGGTCTTTCAGCTCACATAACTGGTCGCGTTTGCGTAGTGATACACTCTCTTTCACTGTCATTCTGGCATGTACATCATGGGCAAGCGTCGGCACAGTAGGCAGAGGGGGCGATCCCCCTCGGAAAAAAATGTTGGGTGGCCGTCGACCCTCCAAAATCAAGCTGAAACCTTTTGTGTCAGCAAAATTTGCCTCTCAAAATGCTGGAAATACCGTTTCAGAGGGTCTAGATTTCCAAATTTTTTAAGGGGGAGCTCGCCCGGACCCCCTAGTAACGTCGCGCCTTCGGCGCAAGGTTGGCGAGCAGATCTCGCCCCTCCATGCAAAGTTTTGTGCCGCCGCCTCTGTGGGCACATTCATCGAGAGAAAAATATGTCATGGGTAACCGTTCAACATGAGATTTATTAAATGAGTTGTGATTTTTCATTTGTATAGTTTTTCATATTGTAGATTCATGTTTATCCCATGCACCCGTTTCACCGTGTCGGCTTCTAAAGAATAACTGGAAATGCCAAGGCAATTTATTGTTTTCCCACCACACTATTAGGAATGCACTACAATGACCTAACACACTTTGTCGGTGTCTTAGGTGGCCATTTCAATTTTACATGAACCTGTAAAAATTTGATATAAAAAACGATATTTCCAGTTCCTTACTTTAAAACAGTGTTATTAATTTAATTACTCCTGGTGTGTCGCATTCCCGGAGTTGGTCGGTATTTGGGTCTGTGCGAGAAAGAAAAAAATACAAAGTTATACTTACTCGTATAAATATAATTTCTAAATTGTATGTCACACGATACGTATTTAAAAGAGAGAAAGGCAATTATTCACAACATATGACAGATCAAAGCAAGGTCTATGATTAAAATACCGAGAAGTGAAAAAATCTGTCTTCTTCTTCTAATATTCGATACATGAAAACGTTTCTTCACACTTAATAATGAATAACTCGTAGTGTACTCAGCTGACTCAGTACGATGGGTGAAATGCTAAAAAGAAAGCAGTCGTCATAAGGTATAATGTATGAACAATACAGGCATTGTTGTGCAAATTATGAGGTATTCCTGATCTAGACGATGAATGCAACTGTTTATTTTTTTACTTTTACGATTCATATTTTGCCTAATAACGTCAGTTTTAAAATCCTTGTGTTCTTCGGTCTTTGCATTTTAGACTGTTGTCACCTTTGCTTCAAATCGCTGCATGTCGAATGTTATGTTTAGTGTGCCCCACTTCACTGATTCTTTGCTTAACGACAATGTAACCCTGTTTTTGCAACTCAGCAATTTTAACGCCCTATCGTTGTTTGGCGCAAATCCAAAATGTTCAGCCGTAATCTAGTCTGACAGGTGTGAGTCAGGTGGATCCTTGAATGTAATTGGTCAGAATATATCATATGACACTTCGTACACCCGAGTCAAAAATCACAGAAACGTACATACATACATACATACATGCATACAGACAAGCTTGTAGGCTGAAAGGTTGACTGACTTCACATTATTAATAATGAACTTATTAGACTTGATCACTTGATGGAATTGAACGTTCAATGAACTCAAAGACTCAGTAAAGTTAAATGTTTTATAGCTTGAACTTTTGAACTAAGTGCTCGGTGTAATGCATAGAGTGTTGACCCAGTAAATGCACTGGTCGCAACTCAAAAACAAAATAGTATCTTTGGACACACACTCAAGCAAAGTAAAATGAGCGAATGTCTAAAATAATTATTAAAAGATTGATTTTGCGTGAGGCCACGGTCACAATTCATATTTTCGGGCGATGTCATGACAACGCTAGGGTAGGATTTTTTTTAATGTTCCCACCTAGTTGCAGGTGTGGCCTGTTCGTCAAGTAATCGAATCACAAATAAGATTGGTTAGGCAATACTGTGCTTATGTGACTATAGTTAAACTATTAAATAATTTTAGAATTGATGTTGGCCCTCTTTGTCCGTTTATTATGTACATGTATATAGTGGGCCATTGCCATACTGGCCCAGGGTTAATTAGAATGAAGTGGATTTCAATCTCAGTGAGAGAATGTTTTGAAATATGATATACAGTATTGACTGCATTGGACGGCATTTTTCTTGTATTATACCAGAACTTTTAGACATTTTGCTCTTTCTCATCTGTGTTTTTTTAACATGGGTTATTTAGGCCGATTTCGAGCTCGATTTTCTAAATTTTAATGGCTTGGGCGACACCTTTTGAGGTTTATACATATAATTTCAATCATAAATGTTGAAATGTAATGTTGGCTCAAAATGCACCTCGTTCCAGACAAAAAAGACCCAAATTAGGTGCACATATGTATACAGATTCCCAATAAAAGTCAGAAAACCAGGGTAAGAAGGCCTTTTAACTGCCATGTCAGTGTCCTATAAACTGCCCTATATACTAGTACTATCCGAAGTTGCTAAAAATACACAAGACTGTTTCGATTTGTTTCATTACGTCACTTACATTCCGTAGTGCGATATTGTGTACCAGTCACGGCTTGCCATAATTACCCTCGTTTGTCTCATATGTGTGGAAGGTCAAACTCACAAGTATGTACCTATTACTGCGTTAATAAGACAACACGATTGTACTGGCCTGTCAAATATACTTATAAAGTGAAAGCAGCTAACTATACGAACATTTTTGAATTGTGAATTTTTATAAACTGTTTAACAATCAAAATGGTCTTGCAGCTCACATAACTGGTCGCGTTTGCGTAGTGTTACACTCTCTTTTACTGTCATTCTGGCATGTACATCATGGGCCAGTGGCGGCGGCACGGGGAGGGGGTGTCCCTACTTCAAAATCAAGCTGAAACCTTTTGTGTCAGCAAAATGTGCCCCTCAAAATGCAGGAAATAGCGTTTCAGATGGTCTAGATTTCCATTTTTTAAGTGGAAGCATGCCACTGTAAGGCCACGCCTTCGGCGCAAGGTTGGTGAGCAGATCTCGTCCCTCCATGCAAAATTTCGTGCCACCGCCTCTGTGGGCACATTCATCGAGAGAGGACTGTGTCATGGGTAACCGTTCAATATCATATTTATTATATGAGTAGTGATTTTTAATTTGTATCGTTTTTCATATTGTAGGGCCGCGATTTGTACAAAAATACAAATTTATACTTTCTCGTATGTATATACTTTCTAAATTGTATTGTACATGATAGTATTTAAAAGAGAGGAGGGCAATCATTCACAACATATGACAGATCAAAGCAAGGTTTATAATTAAAGTACTAATTAAATATTCGATACATGAAAACGTTTCTTCACATTTAATAATGAATAACTCGTAGTGTACTCAGCTGACTCAGTACGATGGGTGAAATGCTAAAAAAAAAGCAGTCGTCATAAGGTATAATGTATGAACAATACAGGCATTGTTGTGCAAATTATGAGGTATTCCTGATCTAGACGATGAATGCAACTATTTATTTGTTTACTTTTACGATTCATATTTTGCCTAATAACGTCAGTTTTAAAATCCTTGTGTTTTTCGGTCTCTGCATTTTAGACTGTTGTCACCTTTGCTTCAAATCGCTGCATGTCGAATGTTATGTTTAGTGTGCCCCACTTCACTGCTTCTTTACTTAACGACAATATAATCCTGTTTTTGCAACTTTTAACGCTCTATCGTTGTTTGGCGCAAATCCAAAATGTTCAGCCGTAATCCAGTCTGACAGGTGTGAGTCAGGTGGATCCTTGAATGTAATTGGTCAGAATATATCATGTGACACACAAATGACGCAAATTTTTATAGAATCAATACAAATATGGTTATATAAGAACGCCAGTTTTCTCTTTTGGTATTCAGTATTGATCAAAACCTGCTTCAATCATGGCTGACCAGAGAGACACGGTTTGTATCTCATTTTAATTATTTTTTTTCAGTTCAGGTTTTCAAAATATGATTTAACTCACTTTACCATTGATGGGAGTATCATGTGGGCTCCGATATAACAAATAATTCGTAGCACATTGTATTAAGTACTTTTTTTGAGAATTCAAGTGTATACCAAGAAAGTAAGCCCGCTGCACCCTGCATGCCCCTACGCACCTCATCTGCGTAGGCACAAAATCCTCCAAACCCGTTTTTTTTTCTATACGACGCCACATAATCGGATTCTATGTAGTGTCTAGGTAATAAGCTGAATTTGATCTAGGCACAACACAACCCTATTCGATAGTTTGAAGAACAAATAGGTTACATGTTGTGCGATAATTTTTTTCTGAAGCCAGTTTGTTTTTTGCAGAGTAGGTTATTTTGGTGTAGAAAAAGTGTTAAACTTGTATTTAAAATGCTTGTAAATGGTTTTCCGAAACGACTTTAAATTGATATTCCTCTGTAATTCCGGATTGAATTTAGATCCTGGCTTATGAATTGAGACTAAATGCTGGAACTCCATGATTTGCGAGATGTACTTGTCCATGCTTCACTATTTCATTGCAAGTTTTAACTTCCTGCTGATGCCTTATTATTCTTCAAGCATTAATTGGGTCTGTGGTTAATGACGGCCATGTGAATTTCTTATATTTTCTGGATTCTAACATTTTTGTTTTTTTTGACGATTTTTCATTTGATGAATTGGCGGTAAGTGATCGCAATTTAGATTTTAGCTTTGATTCTCAAAGTTCCACATTCCTGTGGTGGCGACAAAGAATAAGATTTTAAAACGAACGCCAAAAATCAAAACCCTAGGCTCATTATGGGACGTTTCGTTTTATTGAATTACTAATTGGAAATTGAGGGAAATGTTTACGCTGAGTTTATCAGTGTTCTTGTCAAACTGTTGGTATATCGCATTGAAGAAAACGAACCATGTCCGGGAGAGGGGCTACTTCCACATTAAGTGGGTAAGGGTGTGCAGTCTTCCTCTCGTAAACCATACTCACTTCTAAACCATTTTTTTCTATCTATATACCCACTTCTAAACACAAGTATTTTCAGCAAAAAAAATGCACACCCAGCTCACAACTTTTTCAACCAGTGAGCACATCCGGACGACGCATTTTATTCAGCCTTTTCCGGTATTTGGCTTTGAATATAAGGACCTGTGAAAAAGTAAATAAATGCTACACACTTCTAAACCAAAACATTGATAAATGACTACCCACTTCTAAACCAAACCATTGATAAATGACCACCCACTTCTAAACAAAATAACGTGAAATGACACCACAGTCGGGCGGCACATACCCCTCCCCCGGGGGGACCATGTCTCATCGAGACAATAGATTGAGTTAGACCTGAATGTCGTGGGTGTAAATTGCTAAAACCGGTTTGCTGCACAAATGTTTGTCTTCACATTCTAGAAACATTTACTGCTACACTCTTCCCTGTCGACTTACCTGCTCATATTCAGCTTAGCATAATTTAAAGCGGGGGAGTTTCACCTGCGCGTGCGTCAGACGGCCATAGCGTGTCATTGTTTACAAACAAGCGTCTACCCATAAGCCTTTGCGTTTTTAGCGTGTTTTGTTATCCGGAGGGGGGGGGGGCTACTTCCACATTAAGTGGGCAAGGGTGTGAAGCCCACCTCTCGAAAACCATACTCACTTTCTATTTATATACCCACTTCTAATCACAAGTGTTTTCACCGAAAAAAAACACCCAGCTCACAACTTTCGCAACCAGTGAGGGCATCAGGGCAATGCATTTTATTCAGCCTTTTCCAGTATTTGGCTTTGAATATAAGGATCTGTGAAAAAGTAAATAAATGCTACACATTTCTAAACCAAACCATTGATAAATGGCTACCCACTTCTAAACAAAATAACGTGAAATGACACTCCAGTCGGGCGGCACATACCCGTATTGCACTTCTATGGAAGTAGCCCCCCCTCCCCCTCGGGGGTTGTTATCGCTTGGAACTCAATTCCCGAAAACTGAATTTTCTAAATTATCGTCGATATGACGCTTGAATTACATAGAAATAATGTGTCAAGCTATTCTTCAAATTAATATTCACCATGCGATGCTTTCGTTTCAGTCGTCAGGGGAATGGGTCTGTCCATTATCTCAGGGGTAACTCGCTATCCAGTATTCACACGGTCTGCCTCGCATTTCGGGCAGGCAAGCGATATGATTGAGAATTTGGCACACAGATCGGAAGACACGATTTGTTCATGTATTTGACACCCATCCTCTATGATTTTCAGGGGGAGATTGGAAAGTTCACACATTGTTGCGTAGGGATAATGCACTTGCTAATTTATACATACCAAACTTGCATGACAATCAATCACTGACAGTCTAACTGATACACCAATGTAAACATTAATATAGCTCTGAGGAGTCTTAGCGGCGTCCTGTTCAGACCCATCGTCTCCACTTACAAACCGAACAGCGCTTATCTACCTGGTTTGGCAATGTTTATGTATGTTTTCGTTATTTATGATCCACGTAACTGCCATTACAGTTATATATCTATTTTTAGCTACTAATAGTTTATGCATATTTTTCCGTTTCCGAATAATTTAGTGTCAAATGTATCGATCATTTGATGATTTAATAATATTCTGTTAAAAGTGTTGTCCCACACACATATAGCTTCTCAAAGATTGTTTGGAGTTGGACATATTCACTGAGTGCTGATTATTCTTATATAGATGTGATTAACTAAAAGTAGATGATTATGAATCACTGAATATGTACATTTAGATCACGTGTTCATTTGTACTGCGTAGCTTAATCTGGTTATACCGAAAATGTGTTGTTCATTATTGTGCAATCGTTCTCATTATTGTGAAAAAATTTAAAATTAATTATTTAAATTATTTTCTGTATTTTGATTTGATTTTCTAATGTTTATTCCTAAAAATTAATAACCTATTTCTATTAAGTTGAAATTGAGAGATTGACGCCAAAAAGTGAACATTGAGAAAATTTTAAACAATTATGCAAAAACCGCAAACCCTTTGAACTTATTTTGCTCGCTGATATATTACAGAAATTCGTGTTAACTGAATTGCATTGCACTGACTCATTTTCATAATATACTTACGTAAACTCAAAATAATTTGGCAAACTTACAACTTTTGATACAGTTTAACATGTTTCTGCATACATCAGCAGCCAATTGTCAAAGTCAAAGTCAAAAAACGACCTTTTCTTGTCGACGGAGTAGCTATTTTTGTGCATCTGACAGTGACGCAAATATTTGGCATAGCGTTCACTTCAACACACATGAACACAGAAGTTCGCCCCTTTATAGAGTTGATCATAGTTCCTGGGCTCCCTGTGAGTAAACAAGTGCGCAGATGCGTCACCTTTTGTCACTGACATGACGCTAGACAACGAGCGCTAAAAACGTCACAAAGTAATGACTCAGCCGTATCTCACGAATGATATTTGAACGTCCAATTATTTAATTGAAAGCTTTGATCATGAAACATTGCAACCACATATTTTCGGTCTGGGTATGCAGCTTGTCTATTGTGGTAATCAGAAGAATATATACGCTTTCTATCATACTGAATTGGTAACACGTGTAGATCTGTGTGAGAAGAAAAAGACTTCAACATTTTATAGCGCCGCCATCGGAGACTTTCCCGGCCCAGGTGTAGGCCGAGTGGCGCCCTCGCCGGCCGAGCGGCATCAGACCACTCTAACTGTGTTAGGTTTGGAACACATGGAGGGCGCAACTCACGCGACCTTGTTAGGCTATATCAGGTGCAACTCAATCAGATTATGTGTATCCGAAATAATCCGGAGACCTGATTAAAAATGTGCAGATTAAATACATAATTTGTATAATTAGCCGCGTAAACTTAGATTTCTTGCAGTATTGTACATGTACATCATCTGTAGTACAGACCAAGATTAACAAGATGTATGCAACAATATGACATTGCTCGGATTATAAATATATAATTTGTATATTTTAGATTTTAATCACTGGAGAGGAGCTGACACCGGAACAATTAATGGTTCTTGGAAAGGGTGGTGCAATCATTGAGGTGGGTACCATAGACCACTATACCAACTCTAATATATGAGCAAAGGAACGAAATGTTTCGTTTTTATCTTCTACACCGAGTAATGCAACCTGACATATATCTTAGTTTTTTTACTCACTGGTTTGAAACTTTTATTATTTCCAGCTGTCAGCTGATGCATTGTCAAGTGTCGAACGATCGAAGGAGGTCATAGACGCTATACTCAATGACGACACCAGAGGTAAAACGTGCTTGTATTTTGTGATTTTATGAAATTATTGAAATGTTTTGATTTTATGAAATTTTGTTCCATATATTATATTATATTATATTATATTATATTATATTATATTATATTATATTATATTATATTATATTATATTATATTATATTATATTATATTATATTTTCAAGTAATATATGGCGTAAACACTGGATTTGGAGAGCTGAAATCAGAAGTAATCCCAAGAAACAAACTTTGGTAAGAAAATGATTGATGGAAAGCATACATATATATATAAATATAAATACCGAACATCATTATAATTCTGTGAGGGAACTTTATTGACACAATGAAATCATTGTATCATTCAATTCATCTTAATACTTAATGCTAAGTTCACATTACGACCCCCACCCTTGTCTTTTAAATATAACAGAAATGTCTGCTCTACGTTGCAGTGAGCTACAAGAAAACCTTATCCGATCACATGCATCTGGAGTAGGAGAGCCGCTGAGTCCTCAAAAGACACGTATGTTGATGGCGATTCGAATCAATGTACTGGCCAGAGGAAACAGCGGAATATCTGTTGAAACATTGCAACGTTTCATAGACGCTTTCAATAGTGAGTTCCAAACATTTTAAAAACTGACAATTATAAAATTAAATATAAACTGTTGCTATGATTATAACATAATTGTTTTTCGTTGTATTTTAAGAATCCCTTTTACCATACGTACCCGAAAAGGGCACAGTTGGTGCTTGTGGTGACCTGGCGCCGTTGGCACATCTGTCTCTAGGAATGATGGGAGAAGGAGACATGTGGAACCCAGATACAGAACAGTTTGGTAATGCAAATGAGGTATGAAGTGAGTTTTTGATATTGGACTGACCCAATTATTGTATTATGAATAATATTTACAGAAACCATTGCCACTATATCTACAAATGACTTAACCACGATAGCCATCTACAAAGACCCAGGTTAACCATGATGACCATTTTTAAAGGTCCAGGTTAACCATGAGAACTATTTTCAAAGGTCCAGGTTAACCACGTGACCATCTTTAAAAGTCCAGGTTTACCACGATAACCATCTTTAAAGGTCCAGGTAAACTGTGATAACTATCTGTAAAGGTTCAAGTTAACCAAGATGGTCATCTGTAAAGATTCAGGTTAAGCTTGATAATCTGTAAAGGTCCAGGTTAACCTTGATGACCATCTGTAAAGGTCCAGGTTAACCTTTATAACTATCAGAAAATGTTTAGGTTAATCATGATAACCATCTGTAAAGGTTCAGGTTAACCAAGATGGTCATCTGTAACTATCAAAAAAGGTTTAGGTTAACCATGATAACCATCTGCAAAGGTACAAGTTAACCAAGATAGTCATCTGTAAAGATTTTAGGCTAACCATGATAACCATCTGTAATCATCCAGGTTCGCCTTGATAACTATCTGTAAAGATTCAGGTTAACCTCGATAACCATCTTCAAAAGCCCTAGTTAACCATTATAACCTTATACAAAGTTAACTACAATAATCATTTCCATTTAGGGTTTTCATCATAGTATGACTATTTGTTCTGATAGGTACTGGAATCGCATGGACTGCAGGCGATAGAACTTGGCCCCAAAGAGGTAAAACATTTCTTGCCATGCTGTTCGTATGTTCATTTTGTTCTAATAAACAGCACATTATTAGATTCAAATTACAAGTCTACATATACGTAACATCTAATGTTCACGCCAAGAGTTTTATATTTATTCACAGGGTTTAAGTCTCATCAATGGTGCCCAGTTGATAACAGCCATTGGAACATTAGGTTCGTTACTCATAATGTATTAATACATACGATTGCATATCCAGTGTCTTTCATAAATCGGTGTCGTTAAAGAGTGTTCTATCTCATCCTGACATGAACTTTGCCGATCTTCCGTATGTATGTTCTTGTTTTCTTGTTGCAGCTTTAGAAAAAGCAAAAGCTATTGCCAGACAAGCCGATGTGGTTGCAGCCATAACTTTGGATGTGTTTCAAGGCACTAATGCTGCTTTTGACCAACGTAAGTGGTGTCACGTTTAACACTGTATGTATAATTTGACATGGTGTCCGTCCGATTGGTGTGTAATTCTGCTGTTGTTTATCAATTAATGCAAATGTAAAAAGTTGAAGATAGGACTGGAAAACCTTTAAACTAAGTGAAATCTGACAAATAAATGAATGCACACTATTCAATATATATACTGTTTATTAGATTTGCCTGCAAATTTCAGTGTTGTGTTTCAAGCTGATGATGAACTTCATTTAACTATACGTTGTATATTCAGGTATCCATGATGCAAGACCACATATTGGTCAAGTGAAAGTAGCACGCAGATTTAGATCGCTCATCCATTCCAAGGTGTTTCCTTCCCAGATATTTGAGTATTATGAGTCACACAAGAAGGTTCAGGACAACTATTCGCTCAGATGTATCCCACAGGTATATATGACCGCATGTTGGCGCTACTCACTAAAACCTGAGATCAACCATGTGCAACAACTGAGGGGAAATAGTATCCATTGTTCTTTAGAGGACATATCTAGCACTGGAATCGTGCAGTTCCTCTATTGATTATATTTTAGAAGTGTGAAGTAAAGACTTTCTACAAATAAAAAATACCAACACATCTGTTAGCGCTGCTAGTTTCCATGCGTCCATAATATCATTATTAATGTTGCTCATTCAATATAATTTATAGAAATTTATATCAACAGTTCGTAAGATTGTAACAATATTATAGCTCAATTATCGTGGAATAAAGTAAGTGTTGTTTCACCTTCAGTCGCGTACATTTGGACTGTTGATACTCATAGTTTCAATTGCACTGAATTAACTACAATACAACATATCTGTTCTCCAGGTCCATGGTATTGCAAATGACACAATTGACTTTGTTTCCGGAATTCTGACTACCGAAATGAATTCTTCAACCGACAACCCTGTATCCTTTAGGTTGATCACATTGCATGCATATTTCATTTGTTAATGTCTATTTACTAACAACCACCCAAACGCACTTATAGTTCCCGACTATGAACCCCACATTCAAGATATTCAACGAATATGTATTTGTTTGTTCCAAGAACAACCGCGCAACAATAATAATGAAGTGTAAAGGGTGGTGTCAGTGTCTACATCAATAAAGAGAAAGCTGACTGAATCACTGAGTGAGTTGATTGGATTTGATAGAGAGGGTGCTTTATTGATGATTGTTTTTTTTCTTAATCAGTGTGATAGTTGGTATTCATTAAGGAGAAAGAAATCATATCAGGGGGCAATTTCCACGGAGAGTATCCGGCAAAGGTATGATTCATACTGTCTCACGTGAGACGAGATTTCATGACGGAAAAGTTTATTATTTATCAGTGTAACATATAATTTATAATAACCCTATTCTTAATTAGACGGTAAACATTGTAAAAATGATGGCCACGGTACCGGTATGTAATATCGTATTTATTTATTTATTTATTTATTTATTTATTTATTTATTTATTTATTTATTTATTTATTTATTTATTTATTTATTTATTTATTTATTTATTTATTTATTTATTTATTTAATTTCAATTCACAGGCACTGGACTACTTGGCAATTGGTATTCATGAAATTGCTAATATGAGCGAACGTAGAATAAATAGAATGTGTAACCGAAGTAAGTATATAATCCTTGTATAGCACGCCATTGTGTTTGCTGAATGGATTACAACGTATTAACCCCGAATCAATTTCTATATTATTTTACAGACTACACGCCAGACGAGATTCCCGCATTTCTGGTCAAAGACAGTGGTCTGAATTCGGGTTTTATGATCGCTCATTGCACTGCTGCGGCTTTAGGTAGGTTGTTGGACAAACACACCAAA